TGGAAAACTCCGGAGAGATATCAAACGTTTCTTTTTACGGCAGTCAGCGCGTATATATTTCGGAGAAATTTTCGCTCTAACGTAATTGAGAGCCGGGGAAGTCGTGAGTTACCCGATGGTACCGGCTGTTGAGAAGCACAATAGGCAATTTGCTTCGTCGCGGAAGGATCTGCGATCGTTTCTCCGGATGGAACCTGCGAGAACCGGACGTCTCAAGTATGCTTTCCGCGCGGTAATTAATCAATCATTATTCCCGCGGGTGGCTGATTCATGCACGAGACGCTGATTCATGCAAAGCGCTCGATCCTGCGACTTTGACTCGCCGTTACACGACTGTGCGTACAACGGGATCAACTTATTCCGCCAAGACCCTACTCGTATCGGGCGTAACGCGTGCTTATCTCCTGCAGAAATACGTTTGCGCGGTAACGTAACGTGTGGGTATATAATGGAAACCGCCGGCCGGAAAGATCACCTGCCCAGCTGCGGTGCCACTAGGGCGAGAACGTTGACCTACGGTAAATCACGCGATAAATGCCAAACCGCTGGGCGGTAAAGGACGCGCGGCTACCGCCCAAGTGTTACGAAGGAATCGACGCCGCGACGTTTTGTACCACGTACTCTCCTTTCAACGTTATCGCCGACGAAGAAAATGAATATGCGCGGGTTACTGCCGGAGCGGAGTGCTTCCTCGAGGTACGTCCTCGGCCACGATGAATCGTGGGATAAGACGGGCGAGGGTATAATGGAGGATATCCGGATGGTGAGATACGAGGGATAAAGTGCGGCGGAGTAGAGCTCCCTCCCTTTGAGGGCGTAGATGGAGCGAATGAGAGATCGGCGGGGTGGGGAATTACCGGAAATGAAAAGATTCGAGCGATGAATTCCTTCGTAGACATATTGAAACACTAAATTCCTGCCCCTAAAGTATCCACCTTCCCGCCTCGTCGTTTGTAAAATTATACCCGCTTTTTCCCCTACTTTGCGGGGATAACGCGAGTTTCTTTTTGCTGGTTCGAGGGGAGACACATCAGCGGGGCGGGCGGATTTAAGGGCTCGTTCCCTCGGATTCGCTGCCGCAAAGCTCTCGCTTCATTCGATTCCCGTGTGTGCGTGTGATATAATTAGTTTTATGTCGAATCGAGAAAATACGTTTCCGAAGCGTCCCTCGGTGTGCAAACTGAATAAAATGTATCGCGGTAAAACGCGATTGATAATCACAAATAGATAGATCGGTCAGATTGGATGGCACGGACGCGGAATCGATATCACGGAAATGATGAAAAATAAATTAAGCGTTTTAATGCTTTTACATGAATATACATGGAACATCCATTTACAGAGCTAATGTAACGTAAACGTATTATATGTGTTATATTATTTAGCGAGAGCTGCAATTTCTTACAAAACTCGATATTTTTCGCTGAACGAAATGTAATTGTACAGCGTGTGTGTTGCGTTCATTTATTGAATCGCAAGGTCAATAGTTCGATTAAATTCATTTAAAGTGTCGGACTCAAATTGCTACCGAAAGCATCGCGTGCAGAAATCCTCTGTGCGATTGGCTAACGTCAATCACTCCTAAAATGATAACATCAATATTTGGTTAAATATAAAGTAACAGATACAGTGATTGAGCGATGCACGGAGCAATCGACTAATACACTTTCGCATCACAATACATCAAAATCGACATATCGATTATAATTGTTTTCAAACTAAACCACGATAGTGTATTCTCGATAGCGCGCGCTCTCTCTCTTGTTAAACTATAATCAATGCGCAAACTCACTGTCACTTTAAGCTCGCAACGAAATTGATTTTTATTGTTGCGAGCGACAAAAGCCCGCGGTGAGTGCAACTTTCTGCAAAAGCTGTCTTTGAATGACCGTATCCATTCGCGAGAAAAATCAATAATTAAAAGTGAACAATGTAGTATACGTTTCCTAAATGTCCAGTATTTCTGGTAACTTGAGCTCGAATAAAAATCGTTTGAATACTTTGCTCGGAAAAAAAGGAAGGCATATATTTTATGAATATTTGTATTCCAAAACGACAGTTTGCGCTTTTGTCGTATTTATGTGAAAATATGTCATTTCGAAAATTAAATTGTAACGTTTCTGTAAAGAGAAAACGTATTATTTTTAGTAGCGATCGCTATGCAAGGTTTATAAGTGAATTTCCCGAACTACAACTGGTAATCGTGTTTAATATTGCCAAAGGGGAGTCAGTTTCACCTCCAGTTTCTCCTCGATCTTGTGAGTAATACCATTGCTGCACAGCATTTAAGTTTCCGAGGTTGTGACGCGTACAGAGTGCGGCTGTGTAGCGGTTGGCTTGATTCCCGCGCGGGGCGGATAGGTGCGGGAACTTTCCTCATTACAAGAATACTTTTAAAACGGTTCGTCTGATAAACGAATGAACTTTCGGTGTTCCTTATCGGCAATTCCGATACTTGCTATCGAGCAAGAGTTGAAAGCGATCGCGGGAGTGCAAGTAGCGGTGGGACGGCGGCCTTTAATTTCCTTCCTGCCGTTACCGCGGCTTCCGTTGCGAGTGGAAATATTCTTATCGTTTTCAAAATTACTCTCCTTTCGTAATCGACAAGTATTTTCAAAGCGATCGATTCATTATTTCACTTAACACGCGCCTCGATCACCGTAATCCCGTAACATCGTGCGTTTTCGTTTAATCGCAGCTCCCTGCCATTCGCTCTCGCGCGGTGTCTGGTATGTAACGGCACGGGTTTCCGATCGCGGATGGCAATTTTCGGCCGACGGATAAAGAATGTGTCGGCACGAGTCGCTTGGCATGCTGTAATCGGGGTATTTCCCAATTAAGCTCCCACGCGTCCCAGCAGGGCGACGTCAGCCTCGGCTTGTGTGCACTCGCCGCGCGTGTAGATACCATTTACTCGCTGCTGTACAAAGTCTTTCCCCGCTTAGGCCAGCGGCAATCCCCAAACGGTCTCGGCTTAATAGCTTCCCGCGGGAATTTCGAGGCCATCGGTTACCTAACCCGCGTCTAACAAGACTGATGATGATGATCGAGTCAGGCAAGACAACGTAAGAGGAAATTAAGTACGGACGAGGCCCCGACGCGGGTCGGACATGCTACTCCAATTTGCATTTCGTTCCAAGTTTTAATTGGTTTTAATCCTTTGGTGGGCTACACCCGCTTCTCCCTCGCCTCGTACAAACTTTTAACCCTTTCCGCTGGAAAGCCAAATAGGCCCGCCGCGCGCACAGACTTGAACAGTTTCACTCCGCCGGCGCCAAATATACCGCAATATCTTTTCGTACGTTCGAGCTAAAAATAATTAGGAGTGCTGCAACCTGCAATTTCTCAGGTAATTTAGACGTCGGGAATCTAGATCGAGTGTTATCTCCGACGTGTAATATATGTTGTAATGTGCAGCTTCGCTTGAATCAGCCTCGCTTGAAAGCTTCATCGCGACTGGGTCGCTTTGACCTCTTAATGAGCGTTTCTAGGGAACTCCCTTGGTGGGCGACGCAAGTATCTTAAGCAATGAAGTTCACGTGCTCGGCGGCAAGACGGGGACCTCGTTCGTTCTAACAATCCGTACGTGTCTGTATAACCGTATCTGAAGTTAGTTGAAACCGAAAGACGGACGTCGGAGGGATTTGGGATCTTTGTCCTTCCGACTGCTCGCGAAGACACTGCGAAGTTCTCGTAACTTCGCGCCGATTGAAGCAAACTCTACTACTCGATAACTCTCTCCAGTCAAAGACTAGCGACGTGCAGGCAAACACACACACGTACACGCATACGCACGTACACGTGCGCCGTAGATAGGTCCTTTTCGTGGTGGGATTCAGGATTACAGCGAGCACTCTGGATTACTGGGTTTGGCGCTACCAGAAATGTCATATCCTTGGGAATTGGTTTCCCCGGGATGTATTACGTGGAATCGGCCTAATTATGTTTCTGCCTGGAAGTACTAATACGGCGGAGTTCGCCCCGACTAGGGATTTGGATATAAAAAAAAAAGATTGGCTCGGCAACGCGACGTGTCTGATCTGCCGGATCGAAATTTAGGAGAAGGTATTATACCGAGGAACCCCTTAATTGGAAATAATTAAGTTTCACCAGATCCGTTATTATGTTTAGGAAACGTAGTGGCTTTATTATTATTTAAGTATGTCTCCGACAAATGGGAAAATGCTCTGAGCTTTGTACTTAGTATATTAATAATCATTTATGGCCAAAGAATTCTTCACGCTTGTTTGATATTTTATAAAAATGCATTTTCATAAAAATGATTCGAAACAAGCGTCGTACAAATCTTGCGACAAATGTGATATGAAGCCAATTTTATGGTGACATGCTATATTTGAATGAGGCGATAAAACGTATACGCGTAAAGAACAATAGCAGATTTGTATATCTATGACACATGATAAATATCGAATAAGAGAAAAATGTGTGAGTAACGTAAAAAGTATTTTAAGATCTTCTTTCAAGATATCCTTATCTTCTATACAAGTTTTAAATAAAAAATTTTTTTGAGAATACATAAGTGTATTAACATTAAAAAGGCTTTCCACTGCAATAATCTGTAAATCAATCTCTCGTACACCTCTATTTTATCTTTGAATGATTTAATAGATGCGGATTTACATGAAGGATTAAATAAATCGATTTGCATCGCGGTTGCGCCCAAATGTGGCTCAGAATTTATGATATCGCTGCATAATTAAAATATCGTGTGATGTAGCCGCTATTCGATATTGAGCATAGTTTTGTGGTTTGTTCACCGGGGAACGAAAATTACCTTGAAATTAGGGTACTCTAATGGCAGTGATAATTGATATTCGATGCGTGTGGAGGCTTCTCTCTCGCATTGCCTGATTTATGCTGTTTCCTATACATATATGGTTACTATAAATAACCTAAATGCTTTCGATTATTGTGTCACATAGACGGTTTCTGTTATTCAGATCCGGTAATCGTAATTATTTAATTTTTTTTTGTTATAGATCACATGGGTGAGACGGAGGGACAGACAATTGTTAACAGTTGGTACCAGCACACATTCCATTGACAAGAGATTTGTCGTCAGGCACACAAGTACCGATTGGCAACTCACAATACGCACCGTAACTTTGGACGATGCCGGCATCTATGAATGTCAGGTAATTTGGCAAATTTTTTTATATCTCAACGATATTTTTAATTGTCAGAATATTTAACCATAAAGTTATACAATCTTGATTTATAGTCTAAGTTTTGTTCGTTCAATTGACATATTCGTTTGTGACTCGGTATAACATATGTAAGTAGAATAAAAAAATTTCGCGACCTCTTTTTCTTCTGTTTGCTTATATTTATACAAAAGTCACACATGTATAATCTACTTTGTGCTGTTTAATATCGACCGATTAGTTCTTGCTCTAGTTTTTGTAGAACGCGTTACATGAGTTAAAGTTTCAGTACGATTCGAACATTTTTAGCTTTATGTAAATTGAGGAATTTTTAATTGTTTACGTTTCCGTGACACTTGGTTAAAGATTTTGTACGTTTAAAATGTCAGACGAAATGCCAAAGTGGCCGGTCACGGGTAGTATTTCAGTCTTAGTGATTAGTCACGGCTTTAGCCTCAGCTGGATTCTCTACAGGGCAATCAACATTGATTTGATAATACAATTTATAGTTTATATTACAACGTAATGCGTGGTTTATTGTAATTTGAAACTGATTATTGTGCGGAATATGTTTAAATTACGGTTTCTCGAGTTTTTAATATCATTTTGCATAATATCGTGTAATACATAAAATTAATATAAAATCGTTCGTTATTATATTATCCCAACTACTGTATAATCGCGTTTGTGTGATTTTATGCCTAAATACGTTTGTAAAACACACTGTGTAAAAAAGACACGATTTCCTTCGTTACAGCAATAAATAGAATTACGGTAATAAATAGGTTGACGACGAGTTTTAGCAACTTTCTAATTTTACCTTGTAAATGCTCTTTCAAATTCGCGTCTTACGAAAAATTAAAAGTATCGCCATGCTACAATTGCAGGTGACATCGCATCCGGTGCAGCAAAACTTCGCTCGTCTCAAGATTACGGAGGCATATTCGATAATACCAGGTGCGCCTGATCTGCACGTGAAGCAAGGCTCGAGCCTCCGTTTGGAATGCCAACTTATGGCTGCCACGGAAAGGCCGCTTTACGTCTTTTGGTATCGTCAGGGTCGTATGATAAATTACGACGAGGAGCCCGGCGTTGACGTCAAGCTAATGTCGAACGGCTCCATTCTGTTGGTGAACAAAACGAAGCTTTCGCACGAAGGCAACTATACATGCGTACCTAGCAATGCCAAATCGGCGTCTGTCATGGTCCACGTGATCGAAGGTAAGAAACACGAAGCGATATTCGCATTAGTTTCAACTAAGTTTAGCTTCGTAATTGATGTTAACTGAGGGAAATTACTGAACGCGAAATTAATCCAGTAACATATTACCGCGTGTTGTGGATATCGTAAGATAAATTATCTATCGTAAGATTATCACATTTATTCGACAGAGTATATCGTAACAATAAAATATCGCGATTAGAATTTTTATTTAATAAAACAAATATCAACATTTATTTAAGCTTCAAATTTTCGCAATTTTAAAACACTTGTCTTTCAGCATAACAGAGATTGTATATTTCATTAAAATATCATCTAATGCTACAGAAATATCTTTCACGAATTGCGTAACAGACATAAATCAGAGACTAAAGAATTGAAGCTATATTTCTAAACAAGTACAAATCTTTAGATGTCTCATTCTCTTTCATGTTCTTGGTGGGATGGCAAAATTTTGTGAGCATTTGCTTATTGGCCGTATACAAGTAGTCAGCAAATAGTTTGTATTTATACATTGAAAAATCTAATACTATGACGTTCGGTGCTTATATGTATGCATATATATTGCAAGCACCGAAAGACACCCTTACTACAATACATTTTCTCAATGTGCAAGTACCAACCACCTGCTGACCACCTGCATACGACCAGTAAGCAAATACAATGTTTTGCTTCTCGCGAAAATAAAAGAGACCAAGTACAAAAAATATATATGAATATCATAAATTGCTACGAACGTATTGCGAAATTTTATCATATTTTATCATAAGAACGTTCATGGGAAACGAAACGTTAAGTTAAAATAGTGCCATGCAAAATTATTTATCGAACAATCCACTTTTTATGGACAATATAATTTAGAGCGTAACGTAAGTACGAAAGTAGATTATTTATTTTTATATTTAATGCACAATGCAAATGTTGCGCGGTTCCAGCAATATATCACATGTCGGCACACGTCAAGGAATCTTTGGCGTTTCCCGGTGATTAAATTTCATTAGCTTTCCTCTGAATTCGCTATTGTATGGCAATGCTGAATCATGGATTGCAGCGATGCGATCGCTAAAGGTCCGCTTTTAGCGAGGTTTCCACGGCGCGAGTAGCGGTTTGCGGATTGTGTCAGTAGGCCGAATTCGCGGATTAAAACGCAATGGTAATTGACTCGCTCCAGTTACGCTGGAAGAAGGGATCAGCCGCCGATCGGTCGGGAGTAACTTCCACGAAACTTGAATATTCATTAGAGTAAGTGCCGAACAATTAAACGGCTCGTAAGGAGCTCGTTACGATCGGATTTAGCAGCTCTCGCAGATGCATTCATCCCACAATCCTGCATAGTTCGCCTACGATAACAGAAGGACGCTTCAAAATTGCACGGCCGTCCCTCTAACGACGAAACTTTTACAAAAACCCTCGAGTTTGTTCCGCGAAGACGAAGTTCGAACGCAATTTTTCGAAAGTACGGTGTATAACTTCGGGCAGGCTTTACTTACACCTTAACGCGCTTAGTAACTACGTAACAACGCGATAGTGTCCGTGGGGCATTATCAAACTTATCTATTATTTCCTCCTTATACAAGGCAATACCTTTCTCCCTCACACGATTTCAGTTTAATTTTTATTTCCTTACTCGTACCGCGACATGGCCTCGGCATCGTCAGTCGTCAAAAGTTTTTCCACGGCATTAGTATAGATTATATTAAACCTCTTTGCATTAAACTTTCCTTGTTCAGGGTGCACTTTTCTTATAAAAAATAATAAGGGAAACAATATTAGGTTGTAAGGAAATGCAGCAACTAAAGTTTGAAAAGTTCTCTAAATCAGATAATGTTAAAGCGTTACATTCTACGTCCCTTAAAGCGTTACTACTATAGTCAGATTAATTATTTTGGGAATTACAAATGCACACTCGAATCCAACTTTAAATATTCTATTTTTATAAGTAACGGGGTAAAAGTAGACATACCGAGATTACCGTAGATTTTACAAAATATTTTGAAAGCCTTGCCGAGACTTTTTGCGCCTAGCGATTTGTTGTAAACTACGACGTGAGTGGAGAATTACGAGAAATGGGCAGTGTACTTGCTAAAGTGTTTTAGAATTAAATTTTAGCATTCTAAGGGGCAACTTACTTTGAGGGATTTTAAAGCGGCGTGAAAAGAGAGAACCACTTTGGAAAACTCAAGAGGTTCGACAGATATTCATCCACTGTTTGCCATGTCTCCGTTGATGCCGAAGCACGTGACAACCAGGGAGCGTCACGCACGTGACCAGATTGTCGAGAGGCATTTTCTACAGGGAGAAAATGTGAAATGATCCGCGTTTCATCTTATATCTCAACTAGGAACGTTGGACGACACGAGATCATTTAAAACGCTGTTCCTGGTCTCGGGGGAAGACTTTGTCGCTCCGTATGGGAAGAATACTTTCTTCGCTTTTCCTCAGACGTGAACTTCTGCTCCAGTTTACACATGTACATTCTAACAGTATCTCCTGTTATCGATAAATAAGTAATAAAGACAGAACAGTGGCAAGGAATATTCTTCGTTTATTGCCGTTGATCTAATTTATATATTAGTTTTATTCGCGAATATCTATTACTTTTCGAATTTGCATGTCTGAAGGGAATCTGTTGTCTCATATTTTGTTTTTAAAGTCAAGTTACTGCGGTTAGAAGGAATAACGATTTGCATAAGAATTATATTGAAATTTCTCGTGGGATATGTGCTTCTAAGGAATAATAACATGTTGAATCGCGTATCGCAAATATTACTTGAGATCGTGTGCGGGAAACAAATGCTAATAAGATTCCCGCAAACTTTTCAGCGCATTCCTAAATAAATCGTCTCCGACTTGTAGGAAAAATATGATAAATTTTTGTTGGTCATAAGCGGTCCTGCGGACGGGGACGCAAGTGTGTCGTAGCTCCGTTTCAAGCGTCTTACCGTGTACAATCCTGAGTCCCTCGACGAGCGAGTAATCTAAAATTAAACAACCCGCCAGGACCTTGTATCCGCGCTACTCCTTTCCGCCATATGAAACGCAGCTTTCTAATCTCATTGCAGAGGAGGAGAAGCCAGCGGCGATGCACGGGGGCGACAGACGGAACCTCAGCCCGGCAATTTTGGCGAGCAACTTTCTCGTCTCCCTCCTGGCGGCCGTCAGCTGGAGGATACCGAGTTTCACGAGCCTTTACCCCACGTGAATTACCGCCGTCCCGGCGGCGTCCTTCGGTCCGTGTGTCCCCCGCGACCTGACGGCGGGCCCGGCGGGGAAACGAGTTCCCGAAGTCGTTGTCCCGCTGCCTGGTGTCGGCACAAGCCCCGCTCATTATTCCCGAGCCGGGAAGAAACTCCGGTGCCGGGGATGATTGTGCGCGTGATACCGCGAACTCGACGAATACCTCGGTTCACTTTACGTGTGTCTCTTTTGCGTATACTAGATAGACGCTAATCGGGGGTTGACAGCCGTGATACCCACGTGCTCGGTGTGCTCGTCCTGTGTAGCTCAAGGACAAGAGAGTCGCCGGAGAGTCCGTTTGCCTCGGTACGCTGTGCGCACCTATGAAGCCGCTCTTCGATCCTTTCGCACCTTATCTTCCACCCTGGCCCGTTCGCGCGCGAGTGCCGTGTAAATGTGCTTACCGGGACGACTGTACTCTGTTTCGGAATTGAGCTTGCGATTTACCGTAGGATACGTTTTAATCTTAAATTCTCGCGTAATCTATGCGTTTCGTTGCGCGCGACGTTACAGTCCAAGCCCTCCTGTCCACGGTGAGAAGTCAGATTTCAGCATGTAAATACGAACGCGATATATCTTGTTAGTACACGGAGAGAATTTTCTCTTAAAGTTTATCCTGAAAATCATGTAATCGTGGGATGACAAGGCGTTTTCAAGACTTTTATGGGAGTTTTTTGAATTTTTACCATGCAGTTTATTAGTAAAAAGTATGGTGAAATTTAAAAAAACTCGTACAATTCTTCAAAATGCCACGTTGTCCCACAATTACATGATTTTCAGGATAAATTTTAAGAGAAAATTCTCTCCGTGTATTTAGAGATTCTGTCGTGATAATAAATCGTACAAAGCAATCATACTTGAAAAATAAAAGTCTTGAGAATTGTGAAAGGTCAGTGATTTGGTTCAATATGTTGTGTCCGGAAGTGACGATAAATTGAAAATCTCACCATGTGGACGTAATATCAGATATGCCACGTTAGATTTCGCGATGAATTTATCGTGAGTGTATCTCCATTTTGGTAATATGTTCTCTTTTTATCATCGTTTAGGCTGTGCTGTATAATTTTCCCGCGACAAAATTGCTGTAACCGCGCGAATCGCAATGAGACCAGATTATGGAACTATGGTACTAAGGTACGTCATAAGATATGCATTGGTGAAAAAAGTCGCGTAAGCGGAAAGGGAGCCCCGATTTGTTTGGACAGGAAACTCGGTTTCTCGCAGGAAATTTGTTTCCCAATGGGAGCCTTTCCGCTCGATATGCGGCTCGTTGATATCTTTCGGTGTGCGTGATCGGTGAGTCGTTTTCTTCGTACGTGCATTCTACATATATACATATATATATATACGTATATATTCGTTACGTACAGACAAATGTACACGGCGAGAGCTCGATTTATCGTTCTTCCAATTAATCGCGGTGTATTCATATTTTCGAATCCCAAAGTGATTTGTATCGCTTATCGTTTGCCGCATTCATTGATTGCATATGTTTTTGTTTGGCCCAAACATCCCTTTCGATAGCATTTGATCGAGCTTTCACCGTACATACGACACGTTATTGCATAACGTAGAGGTTGCTGCGAAAATTCTATTTGTCGTGACCAGCATGGCAAGGCTATTAATAATGACGAATTTTACTCTTCGATTAAATCGCTTAGTCCGCTACCATGAGGCCTCTTTTATTTTCCGAATCAAATTCAACGGGAAACAAATATATCTGAAACATGCTCTAACAGACAAATAAACACGGATTTAAAAAATAAAATGTTATTGGTTTGAAGATAAAAAAATATTGTGCCGACGTGCAATGATAAAAATATATTTCGAAAGTGCAAAGGCTGTAAATTCCGCCCTAGAGGGTAATCGTGTTATTTTTTGCCAGTAGCAAAGAGTTTAAGTAAATCTTTCTTCGAACTGGTGTACGTTTCTTCGAAATCGCGACGAGATAAGACAAGCAGATTTCTCGCGACAACTTGATTACGCGAACCCGAGGTGGATGAGCGACGTTCTCTTTGCGCTGTAGAAGCCTTACCTCAATTCCCGTCGACTCTTGCAGTGCCACATCGTCGCTGCGCGAAAAAAAGTTCTTTCTCCACACCTCGCGATTCTCCGGGTAGGTATACACTGAAGTATCCCCGCTGTTTGTTCGCCCACAGTGTATACCTATCTTTAAATAAATGATAAATGCAAACTCAACTGAACGAATGTCCGATATGAATATAAAGAAGAAAATGAGGAGACGCGGCGAACGTGAGAGGGCGAGTGTTTGCTCTCTGTTCATTCGCTCGTTCGTTTTCTTTTTCGTTCCTCTTCTAGTGTACACCCACTTTCATACGTCCTCAAGATTGATGAATAATCGCTCCCTCGAATGGCGCGCGTCACGCGAGCGATGCGACTGATCGAATCTTTCGAGACGCAAAATACACTCCTTCTTTAATTATTTTAACGATTTATAACATTATTCTATCGACGATTGCAATTTTTCCAATCGAGTCAAGCTCGGTTCCTCATTTAATTGAAATAGCGAATATAACGCAAATAAACCGAAAACCCAGAAGACAGGATTTATAATGCGCTTAAAAGACATCTTCTTTGTGTCCTTTAGACCTTTTTTTCCTTCGGACATCGGGCATTTAGCGCCAAATTTTGGAGTATAAAGCAATGAAAGTGAAAAGAAAGAGGTGACGAAGGAGTGTAAGTACTTTGGAAAGATTTTCGCGACTATGGTCTGGTGTTTCGCGAATGCGTCGCGAAAGCTCGATACGCCGATTTCGCGGCTCTTCTGCGATGGGAAATGCGATGAGCGGTCACGGTCTCCAGCCATACATCGAGTTTTATGCGCGGCACGCACGACACGCGGTGACGCAGCCGCTCATCAACGTTATTTATCTGAATACGTGGAATCAATGTAAATACTAAACATTCTAACTACGCATTCAATAAAACATTAATCGTGACTATACGAATATAATGAATTTATTCCCCAGATCTTGAAAAATATCCTCGTTCATTGCTTTGAATCAAATTCAATGTAATTTCGATATGAATTTTTATTAACACTTATCAAACAGTTTTTAGAGTACACGATGTAAAAATGTGGAAGCGATAGTAAGATTATATAAAAAATTTTATAATATGACTAAGATAATTGCGCGCCATAAAATTTCTAATAATTTCTTTTAAGTCTTATTACGAAGTAAAAATATTTGAGATAACTTTTCTTTCTAAGAAGATTATCCTTAAGTGTGTATGTACATGTGTACGTGAAGCTTTTACATTTTTGTAATATTATACATAATATTTCTTATTTCTTTAAATATTCTAGTAATTTTTGTGTTTAAGGTTGCTAACAATTTGCAATATTATTTTCCTTTTTATGTATTTAATTAATAAAGAGATGCAAATATATATAAATTATATGATTCTATATAAAATGTATAATGATGTAATCGGCTTATCGGCATAATTCTGTCTTTTATATTTTACATATATACTAAATTTAATAAATATATTTTTCCGGACAGAAGCAACGAAGACCTACTTTCACAGGGCAAAAAGCAAGAGTAATTTAGTGTATAATTCACGTTAACGTTCATTGGCTTCTCGACGACAGCTTTATGATGCAGGTAAGAGAAAAACGCAGTTTCACCGCATGTTTTTGCAGACCACTTAACATTTCTCTCCACAGAAAATGGAATCTCAATGGCGGATTATTATTACTCGCGTCGTGACTCGCACGCAATCTATTACAATCTATTACCACTTATTTTGCGTGAACACGTATGTTCGCGTGTTTATTCTCTTTAATCATTCGTATAACAGCAAAATTACGAATTCCTATCACGTTTAAGTTAAACTCTTAACTGTTACAAATTCCAATATTTTTGCTAGTCTGGATTTTATTTGTTAATTCTATATTTTAATTTGTAATATTAAATATTACTACACGTAACTCGGTGGTAAAAATTATGGTAAAATTATACTATAACTATTATAATCATCGTTATAACTGTTCTACGATAATAGAAGTTAAAGTAGATTTGCATGCTTTTAAACAGTAAATGCATTTTAGTGAGTTTCAGGTAGAACCTCATTTGAGGGAACCTGGAACTTCTTAAATGAACATTATATAAACGATAGTAATGCAATTATTTAAAAGAGAAATTAATTGAATTAGCATTCTTTGTGATTTTATTTTACTTGCATGCAAACTATTTGGTATATGTTACAAATATACAGGGTGCTCCGCAACATATTGAAGACCGGTTATGGGAAGGTAGAGGGGACTAAGACAAACAGAAAAGTCCTGTACTATTTTGCGCTTGGACGAATAGTTATCGAGATACTGAATTTTAAAAATCACCGTATTAGTCCAACCCACTTATATCGATACGTTCCGTGTGATAAATTTGGAAAATTTTTATGACATGATGTAATAATCTAAAGTTGACACATTTTTTTATTATCTATCTTTTATCTTAATAACAAAACGATGGAGGAGCCAGAAGTATTTATAAAAGTTTGCATTTTGCTTAGCATTCAATTCACTTTTATTAACTTACTATTTATCTGTTATGCTATACAGGGTGTCGGATTCGATTTGGACGACTCCAAAGATTGTAGTAGATTGGATCAAACTGAGAAGAAAAGTTATATACCATTTTACAAAATCCGTAATTATTATCGCGTAATTAAGAAAAACGTCTGAGCCAATAAGTGCACGGAGGAGCAGAAGGCCGGACTCGGCAGACATGCAAAATGGTGTATTTGTTGACATCTCTCAAGATCCGATAGCGAGAGGTGGAGTCACGCATCGATCGATGAGAGACGGCGGCGAGCGGGCAGCGGTGAGCGACATATGACACCGCAGCTAAAAAGTTTTTCTGGTGGTAGGAGAATAATACACCATTTTGCATGTCTGCCGAGTCCGGCCTTCAGCTCCTACGTGCACTTATTGGCTCAGACGTTTTTCTTAATTACGCGATAATAATTACGGATTTTGTAAAATGGTATGCTCGTATAACTTTTCTTCTCAGTTTGATCCAATCTACTATAATGTTTGGAGTGGTCCAAATCGAATCCGACACCCTGTATAACTGTTTTATTATATTTTTACAAAGATGCGATATGGTTTTAAGATTAAACTGCCCGAACAATATAAAGTATTTGTCAGCTATCAACTTGCAGTAATCACGTTGAATTCAAAAGCGAAAAACGAACAATGGCGTATGCAACGTGAAACGGAATAATCGCGGTGAGTCTTTTGTCACAGCGATAAACCGCACATCTACTGGGAACACCTGAAATCTTCGAAATGCGAATCCTGTCTCGATCTCGATTCCGATTTACACCCGTCGTAAAAAAGAAATTCGCTTAATTGTGCATTCGACAGAGATAGCTGAATAAAGTTGAGGTTAAAAACATTTGACCCAGACATATTACAATTCTTTCATAACAGGGTAAAAAAAACACTAATAATCTTCAATAAAATTCCACTTTTGTTGAATACAGTACGGCGTTCAGTTAATGTAATAAGAAATCAGTTAGACGGCGATAGCAGGTAATAATGAAATTTCAAATTATCGGAAAGAAACAATGAATATACGGTCTTTCGGACTATGTAAGTGGAACGTTTCAAGTCTGGGCTTGCAATTAACGTAATAGAAACTTAAATTAAAAGAGGGCGCTAATAAGTCTGGCGTATAATACATTTAGAGCCTTAAATAAATTTCTCTGAATATCAATTTAGTAAGATTTCT